ATCTGAGACAGGCCCAGCAACAACAGAAGGCCTGGTACGATACTCGCGCGAAGGAGAGGCAGTTTCGACCAGGGCAGAAAGTGTTAGTCCTGTTGCCCTCCTCGACCAGTAAATTATTAATGCAGGGGCAAGGGCCCTTTGAGATTGTAAGGCAAGTGGGGCCCATAGACTATGAAATCTACCGCCCAGGACATCTAAAACCAAAACAGATTTATCATATTAATTTATTGAGAGAAGGGTGACAACCGGAAGGTTGGGTGACCTTCAAAGGAGATGCCGAGGAGGGAATGGAAAACAAAAGGGTAGGGGTGAATATCGAAGGAAGCAAATGCCCGGAAGTCGTTCAAGTGAATATGGGCTTGACGCCATCACAGAAGGCGGAGGTGGGGTATATTCTGGAAGAATTCAAAGCCATATTCTCTGAGGAACCCGGATGGGTAAAGGGCACACAGCATGCCATCCAGACACCGCCAGGAGTGATAATACGAGACCGGTGGCGGTCTCTGCCGTATCATTTGAATGAGGAAGTGAAGGAAGAAGTGGAGAAAATGAGGGCCCTGGGGATAATCCGACCATCTCGAAGCCCCTGGAGGAGTGCACTGGTACCCATCCAGAAGACAGATGGGTCCCTATGGCTCTGCATAGATTTTCGCAAATTAAATGATGTGGCGACGTTTGATGCCTTCCCCATGCTGTGGGTAATTGAGTTGGTGGAGCGGATCGGGGCTGCTCGGTATACTTCTACCTTAGACCCGGCGACTGCCCCAAGACTGCCTTTGGGACTCCGTGGGGGCTGTACGAGTTCGTAAAAATGCCGTTTGGATTACATGGCACAGCAGCAACGTTCCAAAGGCTAATGGAACAACTTCTGGCACCCCATGGGGGATATGCGGCAGTGTATATCGATGATATAGTAATCTTCACCCAGACATGGGAACAGCACGTGCGAGCCCTGCGGGCGGTCCTGATTGAACTGAAAGAGGCGGGCCTGACGGCAACTCCCCGAAAGTGTGCAATCGCCTACAAATATACAAAATATTTGGGGTTTCTCATAGGGCAGGGGACCATTCGACCGTTACATGACAAAGTCCAGGTTATTCGCTCCTTCCAGGCTCCACAAACCACGAAACACTTACGGTCCTTTCTAGGACTAGTTAACTATTACCGGAGTTTTGTCGCACAGTTTGCAGAATTGTCGGCGCCTCTCTCTGAGGCACTAAAGGATCCACCTAAAAGGGAGGTTCATTGGACAGAGGCCCCGTTACGGAGCTTCCAGGCCCTAAAGCGTGCTCTATGTGAGGAGATGATCATTCATGCCCCAGATTTTACGAAACCATTCTCATTACAGACCGACGTGTCAGAAGCAGCTATAGGAGCGGTGTTGACCCAATGTGATGCTGGAGTAGATAGACCAGTGGCGTACGCCAGCCGCAAGCTGCTGCCCGCGGAAACCAGGTACGCAACGATCGAAAGGGAAAGCTTAGCAATCAAATGGGTGGTGGAGTATTTTAGATACTATCTACTCAGAAGGGAGTTCACCCTAGTAACAGACCACACGCCGTTGAAATGACTTAGTACTGCGAAAGTAGAGAATGCGCGTATCACGCGGTGGGCCTTAGCCTTTCAGCCTTTTAAGTTTCGAATACTGTATCATCCAGGGAGAACTAACATCACTGCGGATTTCTTGTCTAGATGCTATGAAAAACAGACCCCCGACACAGGACGACAGGACACGCAGGGTCAGCAGGATAGCACAGGTAACGGACACTCACAACTACGGGAACTGCCACAAGGCGACTGGAGGGGGGTGTTATGTCCTGGAGCACGGGGTGACGCCGGCAACTCACCTGCGGCAGGGGATGCTCCTGGGAAACCCGCGCGGCTCATGAGCCGGCTTTATATTCAGCTGCGGTCGGCTGGTGACATCAGCACTGGACGCTGACCGGCGAAGATAAAAATGGCTGCAGTGGCAGGGGCGGATGGCCCCGGAGAGGGGAATCTGTCTGCTGCGGGGAAGGAATGCTATCCCCAACTGTGTCCTGAGGGAATCAGAGAGCCGGAACCAGGAGCGCCAGGAAGAGTGAGCCAACAGTAGCCTCCGGTAACCGGCGGAGGGCGAGAGGGGCCCAAACGGGACGAGGGCAAGCGGGAGCAGCTGCAGAGGACACGCAGGACTCAGGTGAACGACCGGCTCAGAAGGGTGCCGAGGGTCCAGACGGAGGGTCAGGATCACCGCCTGGACTGAGGGCACCGGGTTAGACTGGGCTTAGAGCCCCAGGGATAGGGGTTGGGAGCCGACTTTGGATTCAGAGGGGCTCGACCCTAGACGTATAAGGGATAGGGGCCAGGGAAGAAGCTGGACGGGCGTGACGGGCCACAAGACTCCGCTGAGTCGGCTCAGGAAGGTGGTGTGAGGCCGGGGTGCAGGGGTGGTGGAGCCCCATGTGCATCCGCCGGGTTGGACCCGGGCAGCGAGGGACCCGCTAGGCGACTCCCCCATTGACGGTACATCAAGATGTGGCAGGCGAGAATGGGGTTGGTGACATGGGGGGAAAGAACAACCTCACTGCCTTCAAGGGCCCTAAGGCTGGGCTGCAACAACAGGGCCATACCCTCAGGGTAAATAAAGCCCGGCAGGCACAATTGCCTCAATGCTTGTGGTGGTGTTTGCTTGTGAGATGACACTAATATTGGTGAATCTATTATCCCACTGCATTTGAAGGATCTTCTGCAGGCAGCATTGATGATATTTTTCCAGTGACCTTATGTATCTCCTGTACACTGTCTATGTCTCAGCTCTGAACAGTACGGTGGGGATCATAACTGTTTGATAAACTATGAGCTTGGTTTCGGATCTGTCGTCATGATCTTCAAATACCCATTTCCTCATGAGTCCAAAGGCTACACTTGCACTTTTAAAGCTATGTTGCATTATTTGTCAATAACAGCCCTCTGTGAGAGAGAGCTTCCAAGGTACAGGAAACACTCAATTTTCTGTAAATCTGATTATCAGAGTTGGAGACTGCTCATTAAGAGCTTGTTGATGGAGGACCTTATTCTTCTGAAGGTAAGCATCAGTCCTATTTTCTTGTATGCCTCTGTAAAGATGTTGATGATTTCCTGAAGGTCTGCTTCCAAGTGAGCACAGATTACTGCATCATCAGCATACTGGAACTTGATGACTGAGGTTGGGATGATCTTGGTTTTGGCTCAAAGTTGGCTGAGATTAAAAAGCTTGCCATTCATTACGTAGTTTAGCTCCACTCCAGCTGGAAGCTCGTTGGTGGTCAGATGCAGCATCACAGTAAGGAATACCGAGAAGAGTGTTGGAGCCATGACGCAGCCTTGCTTAACTCCTATCTTAACATCAAAAGAATCTGTGTGTGTGAAAGATTCATTACTGAGAACCACCATGAGGCAGGCAAAGAATGGAGATGAATTTTGGTGGGCATCCATACTTCAGAAGGATCTTCCAGAGCATTTCTCAACTGACAGAGTTAAAGGCTTTCATGAGGTCAAAGGCAGTCATGGAGAAAAATTTATGTTGTTCCCAGAATTCTTTCTGCAGCTGGCAAGCAGTGAAGATCATGCCAGTTGTAGCTGTTGATGCCTTGAACCCACACTGAGATTCTGGGAGGAGCTCTTCAGCAAATGGAAGGAGATATTTCAGGAGGGTTTGGAAAATGATTTTTCCTGTCGTGGACAACAAAGTGATCCTTCTGTAAATTTCTACAGTCGGACCTGCCTCCGTCCTTGAAGACTGTCACGGTCATGGCGCTCCTAAGGTCATCTGGAATTTCCTCATCATTCCTGATCCTTAAGATGAGGGCATGGAGCTGTGATGCGAGCTTCTTCCCCCTCCACACCAACTTGTTTAACAAGTTAAACCATCATATTATTAGCTCCATAATAGAATATAGAAAATAATTACATTTATTACCAAATAAAAAAAACGAAGACAACATATAAAATTTACATAATGGACAAAGCTATCTGAAACCATAAAAAAGCACTATAGAAAGATAAAATCCATGCTAATTGAAAACACTTGGCTAAATAATATACCTAGCAGATGCTGGGATAAATTGTGAAGAGAAAAGTCAAAAAGTAATTTACTAAAAGGAAAAATATTTCAACTCCCTGAATGTTATTAAATGCTCTCCAACAACGGAATGTCAGTCATAACAAATAAATCTAAGACAAAGTAGAGAAAACAAGGACAGTCAAAAAAGCTGGTATATATCATGGCATTTTAGTGAGGCAAGATTTTCTAATCCTTCATTACCCAGATATTTTTGACAAAACACAGTTTACACTTATTCATGCCAGTACAAAGCCCTACTCCTGCAATTTGGTCAGTGGCCATCTTCAAAGGCGTGGAATTCTTCTCCTTGGCAAAACAAACTTGCAGGGTCATAGCCCAAGAGCATGTATTTTTGATATAGTATCTATTTTTCTGGTCTGGTCCCTTCACCTTTCATTACAGACCAACTACCTGATCTAGAATAAGGCTCAGCTTCTCTTCTTTGACTGATCAGTCTCAGACGTTAAAGCACTATAGCTGAAATAAAGCTAATGGGCACTTTCACACGTGCTCTGGGGGTGGGGGATGGGGAACAGAAGTTCCATCGCTGTTGCATAACAAAGATCTGATCATTTAAACTCCTAAAAGGTTAACTCCAAATGCTTTAAAAATAAAATATAATCTTCTGAATCAGTACAGTAGAGATGCTTAGATATTACAAATACTGTATGTGGCTATATAACAACCCTGCTAAAGAGCAGAGTAGAACATCTGACATGACACTGCCATCACAAAACAGAGGCTTCAAATGACCCATCCTTAGGTAAGTTATCTGTCATAACAAAATCTCTCTTGATTATTTTCAACCTTAAAATGAATTTTCAGGGTGAGTGGTTTTGGTGGGGGCAACGGGTGATATCAGAGAAAGAGAGGTAGATTTTAGAGGTTTAAAATTACACAAACAAAGAAAAAATATCTGATGCCCTTGAGGGTTAAGCCAGCATGAAAAATATTTGTGGTGCCACAGTCCCCTGCAATTTAAAGGAATAAACTGTTGTGTACTATTTATATTTATAGCCTGTTCCTTCTCTTTGTGTTAAGTCTCCCTCTACTCCCTTATACTTCATTTACTTATTTGATTTGTATGCCATCACCCTCCCCACAAAAGCTCAGGCAACTTACAAAAACAGTCATAAAAATTGATCAAATAAAACAATTCCTCAAATAATACACACAGCTGAACGTCACCTGCTAAAATCTTGTCCAAATGAAAAAGATCCTATGCCACCTTTAAATGGTGGCATACTCTAGAGGCCTCAAGGGAGAGAAAGCTGCAGAGCTGAAGAGCAACATCCTAGAATGATCTCCTATGTGTTTTGGCCAAGCAGACTTGATGCGCTGATGGTACTTGGAAGAGGCTATTCTTGGCTGACTTTAGGGATCATAATGGTCTTACCAACCTTAGGTATATAGGACTCAGGACATTTAGGGCTTTATAGGTCATGACCAGCACCTCAGGTTGCACTCAGAAAACTACAGAAAGCCAGTACTAACTCTGGAAGCATGAGAGTAATGTGCTCCTGGGGACCCAGCCCTGTCTGAAAGCAGGTGTATTCTGTACCAGTTGCAGCTTCCAGATAGTCCTTAAAGCCAATCCCACATAGAGTGCATTAAAATATTAATCTAGCCTCAAGGTTACAAAAGCATGGGTAATGGTGGCCAGATATGAATCTGAAAGATAGAGCAAGCAGCTTTCACACCTGATGGAGCTGGTGAAAGGTGACTGCTACTATCTCCTCTTCTCCATTTTCTGTTTGTTCCATACTCATCCCACCCACATACACCAATACCTGCTTTATCCAAACACCTACTCTTATCAAGTCTCAAACACCTGGCTTGAAAAAAAGTTACCACAAATTTATTAAGGGGACAACATGAAAATGAAACATGCCATTGTCCATGTAAAAAGCTCTGTCACCAAGCCCTTGGAAAAGGGTGGGGGGACAGTTTGGATTGTGGTCCCTAGCTATACACAGATCCAGGATTTTGTAAAGGGTGTGGGACCAGCGACTGGCACTAGAGGGGTGGCTGTACCCTGGATAGGACACACGGTGGGAAGAGCAGCTGAGGACTTTTTCTTAAGTCCCCTAATCAGGTAAGAATCTTGCCTCCTCCCACCCACTTTTGGCATCCCCTCCCTTTCCCTGTGCTTAGCAGCACCTCTCCTGCCTTCCCATTCCTTTTCCTGCCCCCCACCCCTGCCTCAAGCTGCTGCTGCTGCTATCCCCAGCTGACCCTGGGGACAAGGGGAGCTCCAGAGCTGTTCCTGCCCCACTCCAGCTGAGCTCAGCCAAAGACAGCAGCAGTGGACAGGTTCTCTGTGTGCGTGCGTGTCCCTGCTAACTCAGGAACAAGCTCAGGGAGGGGGAACCCACCCACCGCCACTGCTGCTGTCCCCTGCTGAGCCCGACTTTCCATGTAGTCTGGCTAGAATGGGGCAGGAGAGGTTCTAGAGCTCCCCCTATTCCCTGATAGTAGCAGGCAGGGAAGAAGGGGAAAGGGTGGAGTGGACACTCCACTAAGCATAGAAGGAAAGAGGGGGATAGGAATTCGTACCTGCTTCAGGGAATTAAAAATGTCCCTAGCTGCTAGTCCCACAGCATAGTTTGAAAGACTGGGAGGGGAGTGCAACAGAACCACTGTGCTTTCTCTGGATCCACCCTTGCCAACATCCTGCTCCCAGTTCCATTTTTAATATACTCTGGCTGCTAGAAATGTAATAACTGCGCATAAGCCAGATCTCCAGATACCATAAAGGCTCCAAGATGCTGCAGGAAAGGAAACAGTTGTTACCAATTTACCTTGGGAATGTGCTTCTTTTATCTCCGCTGCTGTTCATGGATTTCTGCTGCAGCAAGAGAAACAAAAACGTGGTTATCTTTAGTTTTATAGCTGATCAAAATGAGTTCCAAAGAGGAGTAATTAAACTAAAAATCGTATCAGTTTTCACTCCATTAAAACTTGCTCTGGAAAGCTAAACGTGGCAGCAAAGGCACCAAATAACACTCTGTACACACTCAGAAAGAGATTTTTCAGACTGACAATTAAGCTTATGGGAACCCAAAAAATAAAACAAAAAATCACTTCAATTAACCACTTAGCCCCTGCTACACATTACACATATTAGGTAATGAACAGGTTAATTGCACAATAAATTTAGACTTACATTGTAGGTGTGGCCAGACTGGCCACAAGTGCAAAGTAATTATCATGCAATTAACTGGCAAATCGCACAATAAATTCCAACCAGCCACATGTGCAAAGCAAGACAGGCCACACATACAAAGTAATTATCACACAACAAACTGGTGAATTGCACAATAAATTTGGACTGGCCACACACAAAGTAAAACCAAGCACAAGCACAAAGCAATTATCACGCAACTAACTAGTGAATCAGGCAATAAATTAGACCTGTCCCCACACTTGCAAAGTAATCATCACACAATCAAAAGGATTAGACAGCTCTACAGAGAGCCAACTGGCTATAAAGTTAACACTTGACAGTGTGTAACAAGTCTGTAGCTGGTTTCTATCCAGTTTTTCTTTGAATGTGTGGCAAGGCCCTTCTCTTTTGCCCCAGGCACCCACTGATGAACACAACCCCCTTGGGAAAACCTGGGACCGGGCACAAGTCCCGGCAACACAAAGCCTTCTGGCAGATCAGCACCTCGGCCTGGCCTGAAAGATGGGAATCACTTGCCAGGGACTCGGCCACTCGCTGCCTCCCACATTTGTAAGGCAACCGCGAGCACCACAACACGCAGGGGCACCTGCTCAGGGCACCGCACCGGCAAATGAGCCCCGCGCACTTGGTCACTCGACCTGAAAGCCTCAACTTGAAGCGGCTTCGTCCCTCCACCCACCGGCCCTCTTGCTGCTGCAAGAAGGGGTCGTGGGCCAACGCCCACGGAGACAAAGAGGCTACTGAGACAGCAGCCTCTAATTCCTTGGGGCAAAGTAAAAGGAGAGCAGGGAACGGAGCGGGCTCGGAGGTTCAAAGTCAGGGATCTGGAAGGGCGGCCCGGAGTGGAGCAGCCCTCCAACGAGCCCCCTGGACGCTGCCTCCCCCCGGAGAGACGGCCCCGGCCTCCGGCGTGAGGGCGCCCGGGGGTTGTTTCCACAGGCGAGGCGAAGCCCCCGCCCAGCGCTGCGCCAGGGCAAAGCGCGGTCACGAACCCCTCACATGCAGGCGGCAGCGGAGCCGCCACTCACACGGCTGCCCCGGCTGCTGCAGTGGGCAGGGCCGCGCCCGCCCACCCGCCGCCTCCGGCCCC